CGGCATCGGCCCGATATGAAAAATTATGCCGATATGTCTTGCCGATAAGAGGAATGCATTAACTCACATGTGCTGAAGGTGTGCTAGCGATTAGATCACGTCAGCAGTGCGATTAGAACAGGTCAGCAGTGTGGCTCATGATAGAGTAAACAGTAATAGCACGTGCAGCGGCAGCCTCCCCCGGGTCCTAACGCCCGTTCGGTAAGGAGTTTTAATCTGTAGGGGGCGCTGTTGGCCTACTTCTAATTAAATTAAAAGAAAAATAGCCTACACAAATAACATTTAGACTGTTTCTGATTAAATAAAGCAGTAATTGATGTCATAAAATAATGAGTATGTTTTGATTTAAAGGTCCGAAGCTATAGCTTACATGAAAAAAAAAAAATCACGAACATGACACTTGTAAATTAAATAATTTTATATATACCGGTTTATTTAATAATGTGTAATGTTTTATTTTTAAACAAATCATAAGCTCTAAAATATTTTCAGAACTTTTACAACTCTTTTGCTTTAGACCATCTACAAATGTTAAATCTTAATATATATAAAATAAAATGTTAGGGTTAACCTTGCATCTTTCTGGGGGGGAAATGCAGCGATTGATATATAGTTTATTTATAGTTATTTTCAAAGCTTCAATATACTGTCAAAAAACCTTCATTATTGTTTATTTAATTCTAACAAATAAGTTCTTGTTAAAAACTAACCAAAATTAAAAATGTTTTGCTTATAACTTCTGCACAGGAGACTTAGTGTTGTTTCCAAACAAAAGGAAATATATCGGTATCGGCCAAAATGAGTTGAAAAATATCGGATATCGTCAAAAATCCAATAACGTGCATCCCTAGTATATTATATTATTATTGCCTGTGGTCGACTCTTATTAGAAATATGATAGAAATATGAATTTTCATACCACATTTGGCTGGAGAATACTTTATCGAAAACATTTATAGCAAGTTTTTAGTGGAAATGCATATGCAGTCAGAGTGCATATAGGGTTGTTTGAAACCAACCTTTCGTTTTCCAATATAGTCTGATGCATTGCTTGTGTTTTTTTTTTCTTTCTTTTTTTCTTGAGCAACTGACAACAATGTATTACTCCCATTATCAAGTAAATGTAATTAATAATTGGTTTCTATGGGAACCAGAGGCTCTAACAGCACCTGCAGTGATGTGATGGCTTTAACAGCTGGTGATTGGCTCTTTTATTCAGAAGGCGGGACTTCCATTACTGCCCGTTTCTCTCATTCCTAGCAATATGAGTGAACTATTTTTGCATATATTAAACACTGAGTGTTTGGAAACTCACTACAAAAATCACTACAAACAGTTGTGTAATGCCGTTTGTTGCATTTTTTTTTTTTTAAGTATAAAAAAAAATCCTCTTTGCCACAAGCGTTGGTTGGCAGTTTGTCTCAGGGGTTTACCCTTTTTTGCAATGGTAATGCAATAATTTAGCCTGCTACTTTTCAGAGAAGTAAAATACTTGCCAACATGGGTAATGTATCATTCATACAGTGTTTCATATGCTGTTATATTTTGCAGTTTTGTGTTTCTACAGGATGTTAATGATACTACATTATGAATTCAGTCTGACTATCATGAGAAACCAGAGCAGACTCTTATAAACCACACTGGTCTGTTACTTCCTATCTGATCATGACACAAAACTGACAGAAAGAGTAGTTAGTTGCAATTGTTTTTCTTTTAGTCATAACTTTTATGTTTTGATGAAAATGTACTTTAAATTTAGTGAACATTTTAGGGTAATAAATAATCTTTTTATATATATTTTTAAAGTTTAATAAAGACAATTTTAATATTTTTGGAAGATCTTATGTTCACCAAGGCTGCATTTATTTGATCAAACCATAAAACAGTAATATTGTGAAACATATTAACATATTAAAATAACCATTTACTATTTGATTATATATTAAAATATAATTTATTGCTGTAATCAAAGCTGAATTTTCAGCATCATTACTCCAGTCTTCAGTGTCACATGATCCTTCAGAAATCAGTATAATATGCTGATTTGCTGCTCAAGAAATATTTCTGATTATTATCAATGTTGAAAACAGCTGTGCTGCTTATTATTTTTGTGGAAACAGTGATATTTTATGATTCAAAAAATAGAAGGTTAGGAACATCTTTTATTAGAAATAGAAATTTTTTTGTAATATAATAAATGCATTCACTGACACATTTTATCAATTTAATAGTTTTTTTGTTCTCATCTACAAAAGCCGAGAGAGGTGGAGCCTGCAGCACAGTTTGAGAGCCTCTCTGCCACCGGCTTCTCCTTTCCTCTTCCTCTTTTGTCTGTGTCTTTGTGTCTTCATTTGTGCTTCTTTGTCTTGACAGTGAGCGAGTGCATTCAGCACGTCACGTGATCGCTCTGCTCTTCAAACTAGGGCCTCTTCTCCTCACAGCTCCTGTATCCTACACAAGATGTGTACAGCTACAGCAAGAGAAATTATTCCAGTCCGTCAACATATTTATGTATGTCGAGTACAGAGCCTTGGGCTGTTATCAGTGAGGTCCAGTGTGTGTTTGAGAACAGACAAGGAGTTGCTTGTTTTGTTGTTCAGTACAAGCAATGCTGAGGGAATTGTGGATGCTCATGTTGAAATTAAATTAGTCTGAATGTGGCTGAGGCCATTTAATTTATTTAAAAATAGCCCTCTGAATGAATGTAAATGCCATTCCAGGTTATCTTGAGATGCCAGTGATACAGGAGCTGGATCGGTGTATCATAATCATACAATCTGTCCTGAATGTTCAGTGGAATTTGAATGCATTAGTAACTGCTCATTAATTAGAGAGTGTGCAAATATTTCCAAATGATCAAAGTTAAGTTATTATACATTTACACCTTTTTAATATTTTTTATTAAATAAAAAATTTGAAATTGTACTACTAAAAACTAAAAAACTGTCAAGTTATTACTAATTAGTATTTTTTTTATTAAAGATTTAATTTTTAAATTGTACACGAACTGCTAAAAAAATGCCATGCAAGTAAAAAAAACAAAACTTTTTTCAGTATTCATGAGAAAGATATTATATTCGACATTATAAAAAAAATTAAATTCAGAACAAATATGATCTGAGAATTAGCTTACAATTAAATTCAAAATCTAATTAGAATGAAATTAAATTCTTTTGAGCTTAAAGCTTTATGAAACCTTCATGGTCATTTTCTAACAAAGCAATATCAAACCATATCAAAATTACTCTGCAATGTTTAAAAAAAATCATTTTGCTTGCATAAATCTTCATGTTTGGATAGAAAAGATGAGAATGAGACAAAATATAGTCTACTTTTTTCTTTTTTTTTAATAGAGCAAAAACAGATCAAGTGTAAAGCCTCAGTTGATACCTAGTTAAAAATAAACAGATGTTTTATTTATTTATTTATTTTACTACTACTAAAAAAAATATTAGAATGTGTATTTTTAAGTCTTGGCTTATTATTTATATATATATATATATATATTTAGTTAGTTAGTTTATTTGTTTATTTGTTTATTTATTTATTTCCACCAGCGAGCTCAAACACCCGGTGCAATAGTGCTAGATTCACATATGACTTACAGAGTCATAAAAGTATGTTGCTTTGACCAGTGGATTCATCTAGAGCAGATTGCTTCAGGAATTCAGTGTCCTGCAGGAAGGATGACGCAGATATGTTCTGTGATGTTCATTCCCATGGGGTTAGCTGCCTGATGAATCATACATTACACCAGCATTCAAAGTCCAAACCCTCACAAGGTTATCAAGGGACAGCTCCACAATCCAGGCTCTTCTGAGCAGCCTTTAGTTGTCGTTTCTGTCTGTACACCACAAAAAAAAGTAAAGCAATTAACAGACTCGCTTTAATAATGGATGAATCGGAGGGATTCCAATTTTTATTTCCAGGACTGGAGAATTTCTGTACATTTTTAATATTGAATGTTATTCTTTTCTGGTTATGGTCTGCATAGAGGTTCTGAATGCTGAATCTTTAACTGAGCCACATTCAAGTTTTCTTTTTTACATTACATTTAGTAGCTTACAAATGGACATTCTCTTCGGCAAATAATTTTATGATTCTTATTCAGTAATCATGAAAAAAGGAAATCATGGAAAATTATTGGTCAAAAATGGTAGGGAACCAGTTTTAAATTAATCAAATGACAAATGAATGAAACCCAGTGGCTCTGAACATTTTGACTCCAAAGCCCCACATTGCCCACAACAACATTCAATAGTCCTGGGACTTTTTTTTAGTTGTTTAATTTATTGAATAAGAATGTATTTATTCACTTTGGAAAAATAACATAAAACTTGGCATAACTAGAAAAATGCACAAAATACACATGAAATTGAAATACACATTTTTCCAGGTGTAGAAATCACACTTTTATAATTATAATAATTATCATATTTATAAAAAAAAAACATTTGAGTGAGAAAATATGAGAAATATCTTTAAATAATGATCATAATTATTAAAAAAAAACAGTTGAGTGGGAAAATGAGACATTTCTTGATTTTGAGTGGTTTTAGTTAAAGCTTATATTGTCTTTGTTATAAATTTTCACATTCACAAAATATAAAAAAAAAATAATGGTAAAGTTATGGAAATTCATTGATCAGAAAGAGTGGGAACACTGCTATTAACAGGTTTTTTTTACAGGTCACTGAATACACTATTGGTCAAAAGATTGGAATAATATTTTTTTTTTTTGCAAAGTGTCTTCTGCTCACCAAGGCTGTAAATAGTATTACAATTTAAAATAACTGTTTTCTATTCGAATTTATTGTAAAATGACATTTATTTCTGTGATGCAAAACTGAATCTTCAGCATCATTACTCCAGTCTTCAGTCTTCACATGATCCTTCAGAAATCATTCTAATATTCTGATAGTAAATAAAAAACTGCAATGTTGGCATTAGCGGGCAACATTACAAATATGTGTCTGCTCTTTTTTTTTTTTTTTTGACAGCATCTGGAGGGGCCCAAATGTGAACTGTGTGGACAGCACTGGATACACACCTCTACACCATGCTGCTTTAAATGGCCACAGGTGAGTCCTGTTTCCTGATGACCTTCGACCCCATGAATTTATTTGCATGAAAGGTTTATGTAACTGTCTCTTTTTCTCAGTGAGGTGGTGGAAGTACTTCTGCGGAACGAGGCTCTGACGAACATCGCTGATAACAAGGGCTGTTACCCTCTGCACCTGGCGGCGTGGAAGGGAGATCAGCGAATCGTCAAACTCCTCATCCATCAGGGTCCATCTCACCCCAAACTCAATGAGCAGGTCTGAGCAGCCTTCACCTCAGATCAAAGGCATAGTCTGGCTTATTTACAGCATAATGTCTATGGGCAGCAGTGTTCTGATGAAATTTATGTTTATTTTGTGCTATGACTAGTAGTAAAGAGGAGGAGAGGATTTTTCAAACTGAAAGGCAAGTCAGAATAAATACTGCCTGTAGACGTTAAATTGTGCTGTACATATGCACATTTTTCTTGACTCTGTGAATTCAGTAGTTTCAAGCTTAGACTTTTTTTGACACGTCTCAAGAATAGCTGCAGGTTATCTGGAAGACTGTCACTTCCGCCTGCAGCTTCTTCACACTGCTCTCGTTTACACTTTGAGTGTGTGTGCGTGTGCGTGTAAAGATAACGCTAAACATGAGTTCAGTGTCATCTCACCCTTAATACAAGCCTAAAAAATTATTTAAAATTCACCCAGACGAGTTACGAGTTAAAATAGTAGTTTATTTTTACTCCTAACACATCTGGGTGAATTTTAAATGTTTTTTTTAGGTGTGAAGTTGAAGATGACATAGTATGATCCTTTTACTTTGTCTGCATCAGCTGCTAAAGTTTGAATCAATACCATGTCAGTGAACTTTAGGATACTATAGTTGCCGATTAACCACATTCAGGTGCAGAATCAATAACTACCAATATCTGAATATAAACACTGACATTTCCTTTGAGTGCAATTTTCAATGCAAGCTTGGAATAAAATTCAAGTGTTTTTTTTTTCTTTGATGTTATGATTTGTCATCACTTGCTAAATTTAATGTACAGTTCATGTGACAATAGTGTAGTGCACTGTTTAAAATGTTTATCGTACTCTCATGCATATTGTTTGTATAGCATAGTAGTATAATAGTACTTAAGTAGTAGTATAGTATTAGTAAGATTAGGATTAGGTTTTAGAGTATTCACTGTGAAAAAAGTGCGTTTAAAGGAATAGTTCACCCAAACATGAAAATTCTGTCATCATTTACTTACTCTCAAGTTGTTCCTAACCTATTTGAGTTTCTTTCTTATGTTGAACATAAAAGAAGATATTTTGAAGAATGTTGGTAACCAAACGGTTGCTGGTAGCCATTGATTTCAATAGTATGGTGAAAAAACACTATGAAGTCAATGGCTACCAGCAACTGTTTGGTTACATTTAAAAGAATTTCTGTTATGTTGAAGGTTTTGTGGTTATCATTGTGCTGGAGAGACACAATGGTTTACATGTAGGTAAACACTACTTTGAATATATGAGCAATGACTGCGCTAATGCCAGTCACAAATTATATCTTACATGTTCATTAAATTTACATGCGTAATGCACACGCACAGCATACGTTATATTTCACATGTCCTATTCTAGCTGCTGGCTTCAATTGAAATTAAGATCAATTGGTTCCAGGGCCACAACAGGAGAAACATAACTTGTATTTATTTATTTATGTATTGAGTAATTAACTTCAAATTAAATTGTGTATGCTAAAATATAAATTAAGTTCCTCTAACTTGTAAATGTCGTTTGTTGGTTAAACATAATTGTATTATGAACTTGTCATAACGCAAAAAGTTGGCGAGCATTTGCGTTATTTATTTATTGAGCCAACACATTATATTTTTGGAATAATGTGTAGTAGAATTATGAAAATATGTACTCAAGTCCTACTTAAGTGGGTTAGAAAAGCCTAACCCAAACTAAAACCCAGAAAAGTTCAACTAATTGCATTTAATATAAATTAATATTTTATATAATTTTCGTTTAATTGCAGTTGACACAATTAAGTGTCCAAAAACATTACATTCATTTCATTCACCCAAAAAGGAAAAATACCCCATGATTTACTAGGTGTATGTGACTTTCTGACATCCTAGCTAGAGATTACAGTATATAAAGTTTTAAATATGGATATTTTTCTTACACGAATGCCTTCAGAAGGCCTTTTTTAAGCCCTCGGTGCCGTGTGGAGCACTTTTTATGATGGATGGGCTGGGTTTGTCTGGTTTGTGTCGGGACGGTGTGTCGCTTCACTCTTTCCTCGTGTTGGTGAATAATGTGGGTTATATAAGCACACATATGCTGTGTATGTGTGAAGATGTATATTTGTAAAGACGCCTGACCACTGACAGACTGCTGTGGTTATCTCCCTGTAGTCTTGTTTGTGTGCGAGAGCATTTGATCATGATGGTTAAAGCTGAATTGTGTCATTTCTAGGAAATTGCTAAAATAATGATGGATTTCAAACAGGGTTCCCAAACTGAATGAATGGCAGACAAAAAAGGAATTATGTTGACCATGAATATGTTTGTCAGTGCATTCGGCAGAACTTTAACCGTATTTCAAAGACAGTAAAAATAATTGTGAAATGATATATAAAGATGTGCTTTATATGTAATTTATATAATTGATATTTTATTTTAATAATTATTTTTTCTCCAAAACTGATTTTTGGTGCAAACAACATATAGTAACTTGCAGGGGGAAATTATATCATAGAGAGGACGTCTGCAAACCCATCATAACTGTGTCAAGTCTTGTAAAATGATACTTAATTATAATTAAGTATAATAAAACATTTTTAAGAGAAGACAATGTTAGGTTTTTTTGGTACAAAAAAAAAAGATATCAGTAAAAGAATATTAATTCCTCATTTTATGTATATAATTTATTTATTTAATATATATATATATTTTTCCTCATTTCATTTTATTTTTTGAAAATAATGAATATGCCTGCACTCACATTTATTCAAGGTCTAGGGGAAATGTTTTAATATTTTTGTCATAAAATTAAACGTTACAATAATTTATTTTTACATTTTATTTTAATGAATTATTTATTAATTCAGGATTTGTTGAAATACTTTTTACCTTGAAAAATATATTTTAAAAATGATGATTAATAATGAATGATTTTTAAATAATAATTAAGATCCCTCACATGTATTCAAGGTGTTACACCACATCAATACATTTCAAATTTTGTAAAAAAAAAAAAAACCCTGAACCTGACATCGTACATACAAAAATTGCATTTCTAAGAAATTGGCACATTTGTGTTTTAACTGCTAAAAAAAAAAAAAAAAATGGTTTTCCTTATTTTGTTGCTCTTTATTTGCTGTTGGTTTGTTTATAATTCCTTTATACATTAAGCAATTTTGTCCTGTTCTCTAGCCTTTTTTGTCCCAGTACTGAAACATCTGTCAGATGCCTTTACAGTTTATAATGGGATGAGAGAAAACATTGGGAAATTGTACACACCTAACCTTCAAAAGCAGCTGTATTTTGTGTATTAATCCGAATGCTGTGATGTCCTGGAGATCTCTCCATCTCTTCTTCATTCAGTAGCTCAGAGGGGTTTCACAGAAGCGCTAGATCGGTGTCGTACACGAGCGTTTGTGTGTCAGCCGGGTTACAACTGAACAGACTGAAGTCCAAATGAATAATTCATGAGCTGACAGGAAGTGTGTGTCACTCGGGGTGTTTTGTGATTGTTGAATGGTGTTTCTAACACACACACACTCTCTCACACACACACACACACACACACACACACACACAGAGTCGAGAAGCTTTTCTGTGTAGCCGTCGGCTTGCATCAGTGTCAGAAAGCGTGTGAGGGGTGAGATAGAGACGCAGCCGCGGAGAGCTGGAGTGTAGTCATGGCAACAGTGTCATGGCTGGATAGCTGAGGGGCAGGACCCGGCAACACATCAGCAAACAGACGAGGAGAAAAAAGACATGAATGGAGGAGAAGGGTTTGGATGTTCTGCAGCTGAATAATAATAATAATGAGCAGTCTGTCTGTCTGTCTGTCTGTCTGTCTGTCTGTCTGTCTGTCTATATCTATGTCTGTCTGTCTGTGTCTATATCTATGTCTGTCTGTCTGTCTGTCTCTATATCTATGTCTGTCTGTCTGTCTCTATATCTATGTCTGTCTGTTTGTCTGTCTCTATATCTCTGTCTGTCTGTCTCTATATCTATGTCTGTCTGTCTGTCTGTCTTTCTGTCTCTATATCTATGTCTGTCTGTCTGTCTCTATGTCTGTCTCTATGTCTGTCT